GGGCCCGACAACTGCCTCCTCCTCCTCCTTTCACCCCCATCCCCCTCTGTTCCCGTCTCTGAGAGACCAAATCATTGCGGTCAACAGCTCAAAGTTTGTTACAAAGGATTTTTTGCCCATTATGTCTAAACTGTGTAGAGAGGCTCCGGACACATAAGCCCACTCCTCTCTGAGGATGCCTTCTGAGGAAAAACTCAGACTGTGACGTAAGCCACTAAAGAGAACCTGAGATAGATAAAAGTGACACTGTTGTTTAATTATCTCCGGTCTAGAGACAAGTAAATAAGGATGAGGGAGAAAAAAGTATCCCCCAGAAAGCCAAACCCACCAACTGTCCTGAATATCAGCTCTGGGTGGATTTGGAATGGTGGAGGCCATGGCCCACAGACCCAATGCCCTGAGGTTTACACACACTCCCCCAGCCAAAGGGTTGCAGGAGAGGTTTTTGGTGTGTGGCAAAACTTCTGGTCAGAGGCATTGAACACCAATCCTCCCTTACACAAAACGGCTCAGTTTTAAAACCCCCATCTCAGGAAGGCCACACACACAGGACATTCACTGGCAGCTTAAGAGGGCCTAGAAATCACCAAGGACCCTCACAGTTTCTCAGACACATTTTCATTTCTGAGGTGTTTACCACAGCACCGCATGTGAAGCAATGTGACAGAACATTTCCTGAGTCCGCTGCCAGACACTGTCAAACTTGCCACCCAACACGCCTCCCTCCCTGGGCAGGTTCCTGGGCATTCCCACCTGGCTCTCCTGAATCATAATCCATGGGAGCACACTCACAGCAACACCTTCCCAGGGGCTGCAGATCTCACTGTGCATCCAAAGCCCCGGGACCTCACCAGCACCTGAGTCACCCCAAACCTCACCTGACACACACCACCAGGACCTGCAGCCATGGGGACTCTCAAAAATGCTGGATCATACATCTGGGCTGGCCAGAAGCTCTCACGTTTAACCGGACACCTGCAAGAAGCACAAAACATTCCAGGTTCAGGGCGATGCTGACCGCAGGTGCCAATTCCCTCCTGCAGCTGCACCAGCCCAGCTGCACACACAGAACCTGCACAGCTCTGAAACAGCACGAGGGCTCAGGGACACACCGAGGCAACACTCCCACATGCACCTGGACACAAACAGCCAAACCATGGAATTCGGGACACGTGAGAGCCACATAGGGGCACAAAATCCATGCCTCAAGCGTGAAGTGCACCTGGCCCACCTGGCAATGGGGCAGATCCCAACCGGGACCCCTCTCCTCAACCTGGCTCCAAGTCTGGCATGAGGACTCCATCCCACAACTGGCTAAAGCTCCACTGCCACAGGGATCGGAGTGTGCCGGGCCTCAGAGTAATTCTAGAGCTAAAGCGGTGAGAGACATCAGCCCCGCTCAGATAATACATGCCAGCGCTCATCCCGGGCCCGACAACTGCCTCCTCCTCCTCCTCCTCCTGCTCCTGCTGCTCCCGCCCGTCCGGCCCGGCGCTCCCAGCCCGGAGCCGCCGTTCCCAGCGCGGGCCGCTCCCTGCGGCTGCAGCCGGGCCCCGCCAGCGCAGCCCCGGGCCCGGCGCTGCCGCAGCGCCGCCGCCCGCAGGGAAAACCCCCCCGGCCGGAGCCGCCCCGCCTCGGGCCCCGCCGCCGCCATCGGCCCCGGCCTCCTCCCGCCGCCGCCTCGCCCGGCCCGCCCGCTCCGCCCTGGGCCGCGCCGCTCCGCCAGCGCCGCGCTCGGCCCCGCGCCCGCGGCTCCGCGCCTCGCCCCGGCCCTTCCACAGCCCCGCCAGCCCCACCTGCCCCGGGCCCGGCCCGCACCACGCGGCCGCTGCCGCCTCCGCTCCGCTGCCGCGACATCCGCCCGCGCCGGGGCGGCACCAGCGGCCCCGGACCCGCCCTCAGCCGCCTCCATCTCATCCCCGCCCCGCCCCATCCCCCGGCTCTTCCCCTGCCCCGCTGGAGTTCGGGCACCTCCGACAGCCCCGCAGGAACACGGGGGGGGGCCGTGCCCGATGGCTCCTTGCCCCGGCACTCCGTGAGATGTTGAATTTTTATCTTTTGCTCTTTCCTGCAGCTCTTCAGGCTCCTGAAAGGATCCCCTGTGAGCACGAAGGTTTTTCCACGTGCTTCCCTCACTTGGCCATGGTCTTCCTGCTCCTCAGCACTGCTGTGACCAAACCATTGGGAAAAGCTTTCTAACACTTTAATTCCTATATTAAAAGCAGACGTAGCTTTATTTTTTTTTTTTTTTTTAGGCGCTGGGATCACACAGCCCCACCTATCTCACACCAGCTGGTATCTATGTCACAGGTTGGTATCTATGTCACAGGCAGGAGAAGATCCTGCCCCACAGTATCTGGTGGACAGTATCTGCCCAGGTGGCGGTGAGGGGGCTGCAGAGTGGGTGTCTTGAGCTGCCAGTAAATCCAGTAAATCCAGCCCAGTGTGGCTGCAGCCTCTCCCCTCAGCAGGTTCAACCTGCCATGGTGAGCAGGTTTCTCAGAGCCACACGGACACATAGAGAGGCACAGGACAGACACACACCTACCACCAGCAAGGCAGTCACCGCTGCTCCCCTGCACAGGACCTCCATCCCACACCAGCATCTGCCCCATGACCACAATCCCTTATGCCAGCATCAGCATCCATCCTGTGGATGTGTCCTATCCCTGATCCTGGGACCAGCATCCGTCCTGTGACCATGATCCCTTATCCACAATGGGACTAGTGCCCACACCAAGAGTGTGGTCCCCTGCAGCAGGACCAGCATCGACCCTGTCAGTGTGGTTCCTTATCCACACCAGGACCTGCATTCCTCCTTCCAGCCACATTAATGCTTTCTGCACCTGGACTGCCTCAAAACCCCCCTGTACCAGCTCGTACCTGGGTCACAAATCTCGGGAGCTCATTCGTTCCAGAAAGGTTATTGATACTGTTCTTGAAAGCACCTGGAAACAGCATCTCAGTTCTGCCCATGTTTTCCCAAAACCATTCCCTGCAGCACGCCGGGTGGGGTTGTCCCTACAGGTGTTCAGGCACCTGAAGCACTGCAGCTGTTTGTGACCAGGTGAGCAGATATTGCCTATGCTATTACCTTTCCACAGGGATACAGAAGTTCCCTACCTGCCTCTGTGATTCTGGGGTGTGTGATCCTGGTTAGTGAACTCCAGTGAAATCCATGCTTCTCATTGGAAAACCCACCTGAACCTTTCTCTTAAATGTGATGGAGAAATGTCTCTGCATCCTGGGGCTGTTGTGGTGATAAATCACCTGAGAACTATTGAGGTGTGCAGGAACTGTGCAAGTAAGGGATAAATAATCAATGGACAGAAGCTGAGCTGCTCAGGAGTTGAACTCACAGCTGCAGTCAGGAATGTGAGCTGTGGAGCAGAACCTGCAGTGCTGGACAGGGAATGTTTCATAGCCCCAAACCCATACATCCTGTGGGCTTGAGACTGGATTTAAAACAGGAAGAACACGTGAAAATCTTAATTAAATATTGAAAAAAAACATAAAGTTACAAATTAACTTTTATTTAACTACAGGGAGAAAAAGTCATAAAGTCTTCAAATCCCTAAGGTTGAAAAAGACTCCAAGATCAGTGAGTCCAACCTTTGATCAAACACTACTTCTTCACTCAGCCAGAACACTCAGTCCCATGCCCGGTCATTCCTTGAGCCCTGGGGATTCAAGGGGTTAGGGGACTCCAGCACCTCTAAGGCCTGACAACCCTTTCTATGAAGGAATTCTTCCTGATGTCCAACCTAAAATTGCCCTGACACAGCTTGAGGACGTTTGTTCATGTTCTCTGGGAGCAGAGCCCGACCACTTCCCGGCTGTCCCCTCCTGTCAGGAGCGGAGCAGAGCCAGAAGGTCCCCCCTGAGTCTCCTTTTCTCCAGGCTGAAGCCCTTTCCAGCTCCCTCAGCCTCTCCCGGTGTGCCAGTCCCTGCTGCAGCTCCGGTGCCATCTCTGGCCGCGCCGTTCCACCCATACCGGAGTGAAAAACCAGGTGAGAGACCACGATCAGGTTTTTAACCTGCTGGTTTAACACGAGAAGTGTCTGCCCAAGGCAGACTCAAACCCTCCGTGAGAAACCCGCGAGCGAGACCCGAACCCACGGCGAGGTAATTTCACACGGCAAAAGGTTATTCCCAGGGAAATCAAAGCCGCCGATTCTCTGTTGTTATAAATGAAAATTTGTCCAGCCAAATTAATATGAAAAAGAAAATATTTATTTTACAATCAAATTTTATCTAGCCAGCTACAAGGAAAGAACAGAGCCGAGCCCGGGGTCGGCCCTGGGTGTGCAACAAGGAGTCAGCCTCAGCAGAGGTTTTCCTCTCTGCCCACACACCTCCATCCTGGCACAAGCGTTTTTTATAGGGAAAATTCCGCTTGAGGCCAAGATTTCAGCAATCAGTCTTTTCTTCTATTCAGACTCCATATGTTAATAAGATTTTCTTTTTTGGTGATGAGGGAGGACAAATCACTGTCTGGAGTTTGTTGATTCCTTTGATGAAATTTACGGGAACGCTGTATTCACATGTATCTGCCTCAGGATTTCCATGATATCCATCTCGGGTCGTTCACGCGAACAATCAGCACCTGGGCTTTCTGTATCTCTCCAGACATGGCTCATTTCCTGGCGAGCTGTACCTTCTTACTTGTAAATCAGTTTCCAATCTACACCCGGTCTCACCTGTGAGGGGGGGGGGGGGAATCCTAATACAAACATGTATACTCTAACAAACATTCAATATCATATATATTATATTAGAAATGGCGCAAATTATATCTACTACACATAACATCTGTCATCCCGACAGAACGGGGCAGAGGAGGGTAAGGGGTGCGGAGGAGACCTCGGGCCGCTCTGTTCGGGGGGCATTACCTTGTTCGGGGGGCATTACCTTGTTCGGGGGGCACTACCTTGTTCGGGGGGCATTACCTTGTTCGGGGGCGGCCACCGCCCGCCGGTCCGGGGCGGTGCGAGCGCCGCGCTCCGCCCCGCTGGAAGCGCCGCCGCGATGTCCGCGCTCAGCGCCGGCCGGGTGAGCGGGGCACGGGGGACACGGGGGACACGGGGGGAATCAGGGGAGCAAGGACAGGGCCGGGGCCGTGTTGGGGCTGGGGCGGTGCTGCCAGCCTCAATCCCGGGGGTCCCGAATCGGGGTCGGTGCGCGCTGCCCCTCCTGCGCCGCTCCGTTCCTCCCCCGGGATCGCTGCCCGCTGCTTCCCCTCCTGCACCGCTCCGTTCCTCCCCCGGGATCGCCGCCCGCTGCTTCCCCTCCTGTGCCGCTCCGTTCCTCCCCCGGGATCGCTGCCCGCTGCTTCCCCGGGGGTCGCTGCCCGTCCCGTTGGAAATTTGGAATATTTTTTTATCGGGAACCGCGTCGGCACTTCCAGTTCTCCCCGTCATTCCTGAAGTAGGGGAAAGGTGAAGTGCGCCGGCTCTGCCGTGTCCATCGTGTCCTTCCAGTGCCCCAAAACGCTGGGACGTGGCCACCGGCCTCAAGTGACAGCGGGAGCGGCGGGGGCAACTGTCCCCGAGGGCACGGGATCTAAATGGATGATATTCCTGGCACCGGGATTGAGGGTCAGTGGGGGCAGAGCAGGTGGAGGGCATGAGGAGCTGGGTCTGAGCGTGGAGTGGACAATGAGGCTGATGGAGTGAGCAGGTGCTTGCCCAAAGCCTCATACAGAATCCCAGACTGGTTTAGGTGGGAAGGAACCTCAGAGACCACCAGTCCCACCCCACTGACAACTTGGAGCAGCTGGACCAGTTCTATCCCACCTGACTTGGAATATTCCCAGTGTGGGGCACCCCCACTGCTCCAGTGCTTCATCCCTGTGAGAGGACTTGGTTCTCTTGCCACTCTCTGTTTCCCAACCCTCACCTTCAGCTGTGCAGGGGTGTTTGGCAACTCCTTTGTGGGGTATGTCACCTTCAGCTTTGTTGAGAATTCTGGGCTCTTCCTAGTTTTGTGTAAACTTTTTGGTGGAGATGCCGTGTAGGACTGGATCATGCTTAAGAAAAAACCCAGCAAAACCAAACCCAAACCAAAGCAGAAACAAATAAACCCCCATGATTGCAATACCCTGTCTTTATTTTCTACCTCATCTTTTTATCAGTTATACTTCAAACAATGTCTAAAACACTTGGGAGGGCTGTTTCCTGGTGTGGTGTTGTTTTGCTTTCCTTACACATCTGTGGCAGCAGTTTGGTAAGAAAACTGAAGCACAAAGGGAAAACATGGGTAAGAAAGGATAGTTTTGCAACACTTGTGTCTTGTGAAAACCCCACAGATAAAACTTAATCTTGTGGACACCCCCAAGCTGTGCACACACACTGGTAGTTCAGCTTTCCATGCTGGATCCCAGCTCTCCCCACGTTCACTTTTTGGCTTTACAGCTATTTTCAGTGTTCTCTGACAATACCTTTTTTCCCTGTGTGCCACCTGTCACAGCCTGTGTCCTTTGCTGTGCTGTGAGGCTACACTGGCCCTTTTAGGACAGGCCCCTCATTCTGGTCTGGGATATTCCCTTGTGCTCATGGTCCTTTCCTGCTGCAGCTGCTCAGGACCCTGGTTTGGCCCGGCTGGAGGTCGTGCTCCAGCACACCTGCCCAAAATGTGCAGCTGAACAAGCCTGGGAACGGCTTCAGCTTTGGTGAGTGCGGCAGGGCTGGAAGGGAGAGAACAGGGAGGGACAGATGGCAGTGCAGGGGGGGAAAAGCAAACAAAGAACCAAAATAAACAGACCAAAAATCCCCACCACAAACCCCAACAAAGCAACCGACCAAAAAACCCAAGCAACAATACTGCAGCTCAGGAGGTATTTCCAAGACAAGTGTTTATTTGGAATAGATTTCTATTCTTTTTATAAAAACTATTTGAAAACAAAAAGCCCTTTTTGTCTCCAGCTCAGGACAGCCAGGGCAGGGGGTGATATTTCAGAGACTTTCTTCTTTTTTATAACTGTCTTAAGTTTTTTTACTTCACAAATGGCCTCAGAACTGAGCAAATATCCCCTGTTGGCTTTTAAACCATTAGAATAACTGAGAGCAGCACCAGGGGAACATAGTGTGTCTAGGGATGTGACAGAAATTTCTCCACACCTGAGCTATTACAACAAATTTTCTGGGGCAGCAGCAGATGCTTGACAGATGTTTTTGGTAAAAGCATTTTATTACCTGGCACTTTCTGCTCCATTTCCAGTAATTTTTGAATAATTTTATAACTAATGCTGTTGTGGGCATTGCTCAGAGTTCAGGGGTGTTCAGAGGGAAGGAGGAAGTTGAGTTTTCTTTATGACTATGTTACCTTATTTCTTCCACAGAACTGACAGATGAGCAGAAAGAATTCCAAGCTACTGCCCGGAAATTTGCACTGGAGGAAATTATTCCTGTTGCTGCAGAGTATGACAGGACTGGCGAGGTAAATCCACCCCACAAGAGGAAAAAACAAATTCTTCTCTTAAATTAGAAATTTTACCTGTGATCATCATCTGTGATTTTCTGTTTCAGTATCCAGTGCCACTCATTAAACGGGCCTGGGAGCTCGGGCTGATGAATTCACACATCCCAGAGAGCTGTGGTGAGTGTGATCCCTTTTAATCTCTAAAATAAACCAAACAAAAGACCTTGGAGGCGATTGTGGTGTGAAATTGTGGATTACATATAAAATTACCTGTTGCTTTGGAGCAATCCCAAAGCAATCTGTGGGCAGGTTGGCACACATAGCTGTGACGAGGCTGGATGGGGTCAGGTGAGGAATTAGATTCTGATGTGGTAACTTTTGGCCAGATTTTCTCCCATTATCCCAATTGTTATGATCCCCATGTCAGGAATTCAAGGGTTTACTTTGATCCTTCCTCTGGATGGAGGGATTTTAGGGCTCACTCCTGAGAATCAGTTACCGGTTTAGCCGAGGTGCAGCCAGCATGTAACCACAGATAAAAATGTTACATTTCAGATTCCCTGAAAGTGGACTTGGGAAGTGTCCAGAGCAGGTCCTGTTGGGTCTTTTTGGCTGATTTGGTGTATCTGGTATCAAAAACTGATTTTCTGCAGCAGAGCCTGAGAATCATGGGAAGATTTGAATCGAGAGTGGCCTTTAAAGGTCCCCTTATCTAACCCCCAGCAGTGAGAAGGAGGGGCTGGGTGGGTGGAAAACACTTGAAATTCAGGAATGAATTTGAAAAGCCATCAGGTTTCATAGTGGGAAATCATCAGCACAGTTTGGCTAGATATCCATGTATAGCCTGGAAAAGGAGGTATTGATGAGCCTGATGGTGGGTGCAGAAAAGTTTTGAGGTTGACGTGAAGAGTTGTGGGAGAAGGTCATTGAAATGAGTGTTCAAATGAAATTCAAAATGGGAAAAGAGATGAAAAAGGGAAGAAGTGATTAAAATTTCTCAGATAAAATGGTGTCTGCTGTACTAATCCCTGCCTCTTGAAAAAGGGGTTTGAGGGATATAATTTATAGTTTTGAGAGACATCAGAGCCCATGTAGCCCTTTTCCACCTCCCAAGAACTTCCCAGGGAATGCTCAGATGTAAAGCAGTGACACATCCTGGTGGCACCTTCTGGCCATTTTGTGCCACTTGTCCCACCTTGAGCACAAAATTAATCCCCCTGAGAATGGTGAAATGGGATTTTTAAACCACCTGATTTCAATGAAAATAAACAAATAACAAAAATATCAATCTGGCAGCATGCTATTTCGCAAGGCATTCCCAGGGGAGATCATCTGATGGAACTCGGTGCCCATGGGAGATGTTTGGGATAATAAATACTTGCAAAACATGAATATTCTGCACTTTAGACCCCCCCTGAGTCCCCTCCTGGCCCCCCACAGGTGGGCTGGGGCTGGGCACCTTCGAGGCATGTCTGATCACAGAGGAGCTGGCATACGGATGCACTGGGGTGCAGACAGCCATCGAGGCCAATTCCCTGGGGGTGAGTCCTGCACCCACCTGGAACTGGGGCTGGGGCCCTCAAATTGGGCTCTGGGTTCTCCAGACTGGCCTCTGGGTCCTCCAAAGTGGGCTCTGGACCCTTGAGGTGATAGGTTAATGCTCTGAACATTCTCTTCCAGCAAATGCCCGTGATCATCGCTGGGAATGAGCAGCAGAAGAAAAAATACCTGGGCAGGATGACAGAGGAGCCTCTGATGTGTGTGAGTATGACCAGAGAATCCTACTGATTAATTAATTAATGACAGAAGAACCCCTGATGTGTGTTTGATCAGGGAATCCCGTGACTTCAGTAATTAATTAACGACAGATGAGCCTCTGATGTTTGTGTGACCCGGGCCGGTCATGGCTCACATTCCACAATGATTTTGTGGTTTCTCAGACCCAGAATGTTCATCCCTTGGGATCTGGGGGTTGTTCTTCCAGGCTTACTGTGTGACAGAGCCGGGTGCTGGCTCGGATGTGGCCGGGATCAGAACGCGGGCGGAGCGGAAAGGGGACGAGTACGTCATCAACGGGCAGAAGATGTGGATCACCAACGGCGGGAAGGCCAACTGGTGCGTTCCTTTTGGGGGCATACTGGTCTGTACTGGGGTTTCTGTAAGGGTGTGCCACAAACCAGAGTGCCCAGTGTGCCACCAGTTCATCGGGAAGAGGCACCAGCAGCCCCAGTGCTGTGGGTGCCCAAGGAGGGAAGGGGCTGATGACACCAGAGCTCGATGGTGCCACAGCTCCGGTCAGAATGGCGCTCATTTGGGCTGAAACCAGACACAGCTCCCTCCTCTTTCCCTTTGGAACAGGCTCAGAGCCAATTCCAAAATGCTCGGGTTACAGAGCCCTGACCTGGCTCCCAGACAGGGATCAGCTGCTTCTGACTCAGCTGGGAACGCTTCCCACTCACAGGGAAAACAGAAAAAATCTGGGATTTAATTGTCTTAAGGCAATACATTTCCAAGGAGTCCCAGAGTCCAGGCTGTGCTGCAGAGTCCGGGGAGGGCAGCACAGACCCTTCCTCAGGCTTACACTTGCCTCACCCCAACACACAAACACTTCTCAGTTCAAGAGGAAAAACTTTATACATTTATCTATGAAAGTTGGGATTTCTCCCTGTTTAGCTTCTTGCCCAAGGCAGAACCATCACAGAAACTCTCCCAGCACATTCCTGACCCCCCTAAATGGGATTTACAGCAATTGCTGATACAAAAACCTAATTTAAAAATGATACTGGGAAGACTAAAATGGAAATGTTTTCAATTGAGAGAAAAAGGCCTTACACACAATGCTACATTCCCAGTAAAATAATCCTTAGAGATATGCTGGGAATTGGCTTATTTTGGGCTACTTGGGAGGAAGAGTGGTATATTGAGACAATATATGGAAGAGGTGGAGAAGCTTTGCAGGTTTACTGGAGGAAATTTCATTAAACCTCGATTTTGCAGGAAGAGATGCCCAGAAAGCACTGACATTTTTCACACTCCTTCCCCCTCGTTTGTTTTCTTTTTTTTCTTTCGAAGGGCCAGTTAAAAAGGGTTGTTACTTTACTACTCGATTTCTTGTACAATACAAATATGGACAAGACCACTCAGCATTTTTGCCACGAAGTGTCTGAGGTTGGGGATGAGCTGAACTCCCATCTCTGTCCTCCCAGGTACTTCCTGCTCGCCCGCACTGATCCTGACCCCCGAGCTCCAGCCAGCAAAGCCTTCACGGGCTTCATCGTGGAGGCCAACAGCCCTGGCATCCAGATTGGCAGGAAGGTAACCATCAGGAATTCTTGCTCCTTCCAGAACCAATAACATGATAAATTGCCATGAGAGGATAATGACTGAACTTTGTCAGGGCTCATAGACAGGCATAATCAGATATAATGACAATAGAATTATAATTGTATGAATTCAGATAAAGAATTACTCAGAAGGGCCTAAAGCAGACAATTTTGCCCAGCTGCAAAAGAGCCTTTGAGAACATGGAATTGCCAAGGATGTCCAGGGGGAGTGAAGTTGGCAGAACTTTCCCCAAAACCACCTGGTTTTCTGCAATTTCAGCTGCTCCTGCCCAAGTAAGGCACCATGGAGGCCCTGGTTTTCTCTCTCTTTGCTTATATTTGGAGCCTGAAAACCTGATTTATTTATGAATTTGTCTTTTGGCAGCACACCTGGGTCTCGCAGCTGTTGCAAGTGGGTTCTTTACTGTTTTCTCTCCCATGTGAGAGGATAGAATTGAATTATATGTAGAATTGAATCCTCCAGAGGATAAATTGAACCAGAAGGGGCCAAAGGAGGGATTCCAGTCTCAGAATTGATCTCCCACATGGAGGCAGTGACCTGCTCACTTGTGACAGGTCAGGGGCTTACTGGGCTGGGAAGGCCAAACTGGTATTTCCTGTTTCTCTGGTGCGTTTTAGCTAAAACTGAAGTGGTTTTTTTACTGTAAAAAAGCTTTATTTATTCTTTAAGCGAACTAAAGGATGGAATTGGTTGTACCTGGGAACAATCTGATTCCGTGGCACCTCCCCCTTCCAGGAGCTGAACATGGGCCAGCGCTGCTCGGACACGCGCGGGATCGTCTTTGAGGACGTGCGCGTCCCCAAGGAGAACGTGCTGATCGCGGAGGGCGCCGGCTTCAAGATCGCCATGGGCGCCTTCGACAAGACCAGGCCCCCAGTGAGTACCAGGAATGGGCTGTTCACAAAGCAGACAGGAATTTCTGCTGCTCACCCTGCGCTGTGCCCACCCAGGTGGCAGCGGGGGCTGTGGGGCTGGCGAGGCGAGCGCTCGACGAGGCCACCAGGTACGCGCTGGAGAGGAAAACCTTCGGGAAACCCATCGTGGAGGTGCGTTTATGTCCTAGGTGAGACAGTCACGATACAAAGCAAACACTCCATTTTCATAGCATGCATGCTTTTTATATATTCTTACAAAACTCATAAGTTTACACTTTACTCATGGGTCAGGAAAGACAAAGTGTTCAATGGAATAGACAGTTGCAGGTTTCTCTTGTTTGTCCTTCTTTCTTTCTTGGTTTCTATGTCAACGACCTTGGTAGAGAATTCTTTCAGGGATAAACATGAATCCTCTTATCAAACTTCTCTCTGGCCCACAGAAGTTGCTGTAAAACCTCTTCCACACATTTAGAGTTAGACATGGGAACATCTGATCCAACACAGATCCCAATTCCATAGAACTCCTTGAACACAACTTCCCAAGGTCACTGAATTTGCAAATTAAGAAATGAAGATAAAATTATATATTAGGGAAGATTTATTCCCAGAAAGGCCTGGCTCTGGTCCAGTCCCTGTCCTTGAGGCACTTGGGGACACAGTTTAATGATGACCATGATGGTGCCTGGGCAAGGCTTGGCCTTGATGATCATAACAATCTTTCCAGCCCCAAGAATTCCACGATCCTAAGCAGAAGGCTCCTTCCCCTGCAGCCCTCTGAGGCTCACCCGGTGGGTCTCCACTCTCCCAGCACCAGGCCGTGGCATTCCTGCTGGCAGAGATGGCCATGAAGGTGGAGCTGGCCCGGCTGGGGTACCAGCGAGCCGCCTGGGAGGTGGATGCCGGCCGCCGCAACACCTTCTACGCCTCCATCGCCAAGGCCTTCGCCGGGGACGTCGCCAACCAGGTGGCCACTGATGCTGTGCAGATCTTTGGGGGCAATGGCTTCAACACAGAATATCCTGTGGAGAAGCTCATGAGGGATGCCAAAATCTATCAGGTGAGTGGGACAGAGCACTCAATACAAAGTAATTAATTGCTGATTAATTGTAATCAGGATGGACACAGGCTAAAAAAATTTGGAGACTGAAAGACATTAAAAAAGCCAGGGAATCTCAGAAAAACGGAAAGCTGGACAAGACAAACGCAGGTCTGAACCACTGTGGTTAATCAAACGTTCTCCCTTTATTCAAGATAAGATGGTAGTTTATATAAGCTTCTACATAGTTTACAGAAACAAAGACACTCTGATTGGCAAACTAATATTGTTTACCTTTTCCTTAAAACAGCCTACATCTTACACTATAAAACCTATACTAATTCACACCCAGACAACCCAGTGGTCCCCATCACACCTTAAGACTATTTCTATCTGCGCCACAAGCTCTGAATTTCTAACTGCGTCAGAGGCTTTGAAGGCCCACAAGGCCCAAATCTGAGGCCTAGACTGGAGTAGCTCAAATCTCATAACTCATGTCCTCTTTCTCTCAAAAATGCTGCAACACATTAAATCATTAAATCAGTTCTGAACTTACCACTCACTAGGCAGGTGCTTTGGTTGAGATGTCACCAGCATTGAGGCCCGTGGACTAATTAATTAGTGTTAATTACCCTCTGTGTGCTGCAGAAACAGCCATGGGGCACAGTCCATGGTGATTCACTTCTTCAGATATTTATTTATTGGTTTCTTTTCCAAAAGAACAAAACATGGTCATATTTCCTCATTTTCAGCCCACAGACACCCCTAATCCCCAGTGCTTTTTCTGCAGTGTTATTGCCAAGAAATTATCCCATGCCAGAATTGCTCTGCTGGTTCAAGTTTGTTGTTCAGCAGGAATGAATTAATTTCCTTAGGAAACCCAGCAACCTTCACCTTTTCCCTCTTTCCAACATTAACCATGACTGTCTGGAACTAATCCAAACAGGTCTCAGGGAACACATATGGGCCCTGACCTGTCAGCAAGTGACCACAGCTGCTGAGATTTCAGGTGGTTGACATTCCTTTTACAGCTGACTTTAAAATTCCAACTGTTCTCACCAGTCAGGAATTTTTCCCTCTCCAAGGACAGAAAGCAGATGTTTGGAATTAAAAAGTTCTCAGTCCTGATTTCAGTCCTCAGAGAGGAACTGAACAAGCTATAAGACTTTGTCAGAATTGGGCTCTTTTCCCGTTTTAGGGTTTTTTCCACCAAGATCCTCCATCACACAGCTCCATCGTCAATGCATGGCCAGGCATGCTGAGATTTTGAAATTGTTCTAATTACTCTCATTTAGTGGGAAATTTTGGGGTGTTTTTCCTCTTACCCTCAACCCCTGCAAGAACTTGGGCTTTACTTGGAGAAACTTTGTGCAGTTTGGGAATATTATCCTGATTTTGTGACTGCAGAGAAAGTGGATTTGCAGGTATGGGAGCGATTTTCCAAAGCAACTTCAGGCAGGATTGGGAGATGAAACACTGAAATCCCCAAATTCTGCTATCCTGGAGCTGCCCTGGGCTCTGCCTGGGAGATCTCTGAATTTCTGTGCTGGGCACACAGAGGTGTTTGGATAACTGGGAAATCTCTGGATCCCTCTTGCACTGAACACACACCTGTATGGGTTATTGCCTCTTACAGGTCATTGTCACACTCATTTTTCCAAGTTCTCCCTCTTCCTGCCCCCTGGTTTGGCACAGGGAGGGGTCACAGGTGTGCAGACTCTGCTCAAGCACCTTTCCCAGCTGCTGGCTCACCTGTCTCTGCTTTTCCCTGCAGATCTACGAGGGCACGGCACAGATCCAGCGAGTGATCATTGCCCGTGAGCACCTGGGCAGACACAAGGCATGAGGGATGCGGCAGCTCCAGGCCTGGTATTCCAGGGAAAGTGATTGTGCTGCATTGCTCCATTAGAAAAACATGGGGAAACCCCTTTTCCATCAAACTCCTGTTCTTGTGCCTGATCCAGCACAGGTTCTGGGACCCCATCCATCCCCTGAGCCCATCCCACTGACTGACCATCCCAAACATCCCAAAATCCCACAGGGATCACATCGCTCTTTCCAAATCTCCCTTTGGCTTTCAGCAGCAAAGGAGACAAAACCCTTCCCCGGCAAACCTGGATGAGCAAAGAGTGAACAAAATTCTCATTTTTTAACATTTATTTTTGCCAGTGAAAGCAAAAATCCAGCACATCTCAGTAGTCAGATTTCGGATGTTTCTGTGTTTTTAATGGCACCAATCCACTCCCTTTGTTTATTCCTGGGGCTTAGGTGATGGCAACTGGATCAGCCTCAGGGAACTTAATAAACCTGACTTTTCCTCCTGTGGAAGGGCTGAGCTGGCTCTGGCACTTAGGCTCCAGGGCCCCAGTTCCCAAGATCCATAGGAAACACTGTAAGTTTGGAGCCTTTCAACAGCCAAATCTAAAGAAAAACTAAAGTGAATCCATGTTTCTCGTGCCTTGAAGCAGAATTCCTCGTGATGGGTGAGTGGTAATGATGGTGTGTGAGAGGGGTTAAATATATCCTGGGAGGAAGGGAGAAGGATGGGGCAATGGGAACGTGAATTTACTCATCCTGTGGAAAAGTGTGCAGGAAATGAGCTGGGCTTGGGCATGGCAGTGTGGGCTGAGCTGGGCCTTGCCCTGACAGCCTGATAAAAGGCAGGAATGAGACTCGTGTGGTGCAGAGGATTTCCCTGGAAAAGGCTGTTCTGGAGTCACTGCCAGGTCCCCATAAATGCTGTTGGTGTTGACGGGGCAGGAGCGGCTGACCCGCACTCCTCACAGGTTCTGGTGGGATCTACCACCATGTGTTGGTCCCAGCACAGGATGAGCTTATGGGGGGAATGGGGTGGGCTGGGAATGGACAGGGGAGGATGGAATGGGGATGGAAGTGGATGGGGACTGTGCAAAGAAGCCATGCTACAAAAAGCCAAAGGAGACAGAGGAGTCCTGCAACTTTATTTGAACCAAGGGAGAGAAGCCACTGGGACAGAAACCCGTGGGGGGGTCTCTGTCTCTTGGTTTTGGAGAGTGCAGTCTCTTTTTATTCTAAACTCCCCATGTATGTTGTCCTCTTCCTTTCCCCACTGACTGAGGTACCAGGAAGGTACAGCTTTCCCAAACTACATACCACACATCCCCCCTTGAACATGTGTCACCATTTCCCCCTGAAGTTCAGAAGTGCAGGCTGACTGGGTTCTGCAGATCCATCAGAAGTTCAGACCGTTTGCAATACACTTCCATTTGTCCTAGTATCCTGCATTTCAGGAGCTCACTCTGGGTCAGGCTGCCTGGGCTCTGTAACAAACATTATTACCCATTTAGAAGACATTAACACCCATTTCTGTGACAGTAGTGAAGAACCCCACACCCATCTTTCCACATCGAGTTTTTTATGAAGACATTAGTAGGACAAAAGCGGTTGGGATGGGGATAGAGGCAGTGTGGATGGAGTCTCCTGGGGAGGAGAACATCACCCTGGAAATGGAGGGGGATGGAGATAGAGGCAGTAGAGAGCAGGATGGGGTGGATGAATGGGGATGGTGTGGCCATGGAAGGCGATAAAGGGGGAAGGAAGAGTATGGGATGGGGATGAATGCCCTCGGAGGTGGATGGAAGGCAATGGCAGTGGCAGTGACGAGGATGAGGGAAATGGAGGTGGCTGAGGGCGCTTGGACACAGATCTGTGGGGCAAGATCATCTCACCTATGACATAGGTAGCAACTGGAGATAGGTGGGGCTGTGTGATCCCAGCGCCAAAAAGAAAAAAAAACCAAAAAAAAAAAAAAGCTACGTCTGCTTTTAATATAGGAATTAGAGTGTTAGGAAGCTTTTCCCAATTGTTTGGTCACAGCAGTGCTGAGGAACAGGGAGACCGTGGCCAAGTGAGGGAAGCACGTGGAAAAACCTTCGTGCTCACAGGGATCCTTTCAGGAGCCTGAAGAGCTGCAGGAAAGAGCAAAAGATAAAAATTCACCATCTCACGGAGTGCCGGGGCAAGGAGCCATCGGGCACGGCCCCCGCCCCGTGTTCCTGCGGGGCTGTCGGAGGTGCCCGAACTCCACCGGGGCAGGGGAAGAGCCGGGGGATGGGACGGGGCGGGGATGAGGGAGATGGAGGCGGCTGAGGGCGGGTCCGGGGCCGCTGGTGCCGCCCCGGCGCGGGCGGATGTCGCGGCAGCGGAGCGGAGGCGGCAGCGGCCGCGTGGTGCGGGCCGGGCCCGGGGCAGGTGGGGCTGGCGGGGCTGTGGAAGGGCCGGGGCGAGGCGCGGAGCCGCGGGCGCGGGGCCGAGCGCGGCGCTGGCGGAGCGGCGCGGCCCAGGGCGGAGCGGGCGGGCCGGGCGAGGCGGCGGCGGGAGGAGGCCGGGGCCGATGGCGGCGGCGGGGCCCGAGGCGGGGCGGCTCCGGCCGGGGGGGTTTTCCCTGCGGGCGGCGGCGCTGCGGCAGCGCCGGGCCCGGGGCTGCGCTGGCGGGGCCCGGCTGCAGCCGCAGGGAGCGTCCCGCGCTGGGAACGGCGGCTCCGGGCTGGGAGCGCCGGGCCGGACGGGCGGGAGCAGCAGGAGCAGGAGGAGGAGGAGGCAGTTGTCGGGCCCGGGATGAGCGCTGGCATGTATTATCTGAGCGGGGCTGATGTCTCTCACCGCTTTAGCTCTAGAATTACTCTGAGGCCCGGCACACTCCGATCCCTGTGGCAGTGGAGCTTTAGCCAGTTGTGGGATGGAGTCCTCCTGCCAGACTTGGAGCCAGGTCGAGGAGAGGGGATCCCGGTTGGGATCTGCCCCATTGCCATGTGGGGCAGGTGCCGTTCTGGGCTGAGCCGTGGGTTTTGTGCCCATGTGTGGCTCTCACATGTCCCGAATTCCATGGTTTGGCTGTTTGTGTCCAGGTGCATGTTGGAGTGTTGCCTCGATGTGTCCCTGAGCCCCCGTGTGCTGGCAGAGCTGTGCAGGTTCTGTGTGTGCAGCTGGGCTGGTGCAGCTGCAGGAGGGGAGTGGCACCTGTGGTCAGTGTGGCCCTAAACCTGGACTGTTTTGTGCTTCTTGCAGGTGTCTGGTTGAACGTGGACTGTTCTGGCCATCCCAGATGTATGATCCAGAATTTTTGGGCGTCCCCATGGCTGCAGTTCTCTTTGGTATGTATCAAGTGAGGTTTGGGGTAACTCAGGGGCTGGTGAAATCACGGGTCTCCTGAGGCTTTGGTTGTGCAGTGAGATCTGCAGCCCCTGGGAAGGTGTTGCTGTGAGTGTGCTCCAATGGATTTCAATTCAGGAGAGCCAGGTGGGAATGCCCAGAAACCTCCCTGGGAGGGAAGCGTAGTGGGCGGCGCTTTTTGACCGAGTGTGTGGCAAGAGTCTGTGGATCTGTTTTGTCATATGTAGTGCTGTGGTAATAGCCACAGAAATGAAAATGGTCCTGAGGAGCTTTGGGCATCCTCGAGTGTTTCTCACTCCTCCTCAGCTGCCCTTCACGTGAATGTCCCGTGTATATGGGTCCTGCCTGGGGTGGGGGTTTTACAACAGAGCCCTTCTGTATAAGGGAGGATGAGTGTTCACTGCCTCTGACCAGAAATTTTGCCACACACCAAAAACCTCTTCTTGAACCCTTTGGGTGGTAGGAGTGTGTGCCAACCTCAGGGCATTGTGTCTGTGGGCCATGGCCTCCACCACGCCAAAGCCACCCAGAGCTGATGTTCTGGAAATAGCTGGGTTTGGCTTTCTCAGGGAGACTTGCTTCTCCCTGAGCATTGTTTATTTGTCTCTAGGCCTGAGATAATTGAACAACAATGTCATCTTTATCTCAGATTACCCTAGATGTCTTGAGTCACAGTCCAAAGTTCCCCTCAAGAGGAATCCTCACAGATGGGTGGGCTTCAGTGGCCTCAGCCTCTTTACACAGTTTAGGCATAATGGGCAAAAAAATCTTTTGTAGAAAAGTTTGGGCTATTGCTGAGGATGTTTCAGTCTCTCAGAGATGGGAAGAGAGGGGGATGGGGGTGAAAAGAGGAGGAGGAGGCAGTTGTCGGGCCCGGGATGAGCGCTGGCATGTATTATCTGAGCGGGGCTGATGTCTCTCACCGCTTTAGCTCTAGAATTACTCTGAGGCCCGGCACACTCCGATCCCTGTGGCAGTGGAGCTTTTGTCACTTGTGGGTTGGAGTCCTCCTGCCAGACTTAAAGCCAGATTGAGGAGAGGGATCCTGGTTGGGATCTGCCCCATTGCCAGGTGGGGCAGGTGCAGTTCTGGGCTGAGCTGTGGGTTTTGTGCCCATGTGTGGTTCTCAAATGTCCCGAGTTCCATGGTTTGACAGTTTGTGTCCAGGTGCATATGGGATTGTTGTCTCAGGTGTCCCTGAGCCCCCGTGTGCTGGCAGAGCTGTGCAGGTTCTGTGTGTGCAGTTATAGGTGGGAGTGTGCAGGAGGAGAGTGGCACCTGTGGTCAGTGTGGCCCTAAACCTGGAATGTTTTGTGCTTCTTGCAGGTGTCCGGTTGTGCATGGGATGTTCTGGCCAGCCCAGATGCATGATCCAGCATTTTTGAGAGTCCCCATGGCTGCAGGTCCCAGTGTGCTATGTCAGGTGAGGTTTGGGGTGACTCAGGTGCTGGTGAAATCCCGGATCTCCCCGGGTTTTGGTTGTGAGATCTGCAGACAGGGGCTGGTGTTGCTGGGGGTGTGCTCCAATAGATTATGATACAAGAGAGCCAGATGGGAATGCCCAGGTATCCCCCTCGAGGAAAGGGGATGAGTGGGGCTCAAGCTTGACACAGCGTGTTGGAAGAGTCTCTGCATCTGCTCTGTCACATGCAGTGCTGTGGTAAATCACTGCAAATCTGAGCTTTGGGGGTCCTTGATGGTTTCTCACCCCTCCTCAGCTGCCCTTCATGTGAATGTCCTGTGTGTGTGATCTTATTGGGGTGCGAGTTTTAAAGAGAGCCGTTTTCCATAAGGGAGGATGGGTGTTCACTGCCTCTGACCAGAAGTTTTGCCACACACCGAAAACCTCTTCTTGAACCCTTTGGGTGATAGGGGTGTGTGCAAAACCTCAGGGCATTGTGTCTGTATGCCATGGCCTCCACCACGCCAAAGCCACCCAGAGCTGATGTTCAGGACAGTTGCTGCATTTGGGTTTCTAGGGGATACTTGCTTGCTTCTCCCTCAGCCTCGTTTACTTGTCTCTAGGCCTGAAATAATTGAAAAACTGTGTCGCCTTTATCTGTCTGAGGTTCCCTTAGGTGGCTTAAGTCATAGTCCAAAGTTCCCCTCAGGAGGCATCCTCAAGGAGGGGTGGGCTTCAGTGGCCGCTGCCTCTTTACACAGATTAGGCATAATGGGCAAAAAATTCTTCGGAGAGAAGTTTGAGCCGTTGCCCACAATGATTCGGTCTCTCACAGATGAGAAGAGAGGGGGATGGGGTTGAAAGCAGTCGAAGGCGGCTGAGGGCGGGTCCGGGGCCGCTGGTCCCGCCCCGGCGCGGGCGGATGTCGCGGCAGCGGAGCGGAGGCGGCAGCGGCCGCGTGGTGCGGGCCGGGCCCGGGGCAGGTGGGGCTGGCGGGGCTGTGGAAGGGCCGGGGCGAGGCGCGGAGCCGCGGGCGCGGGGCCGAGCGCGGCGCTGGCGGAGCGGCGCGGCCCAGGGCGGAGCGGGCGGGCCGGGCGAGGCGGCGGCGGGAGGAGGCCGGGGCCGATGGCGGCGGCGGGGCCCGAGGCGGGGCGGCTCCGGCCGGGGGGGTTTTCCCTGCGGGCGGCGGCGCTGCGGCAGCGCCGGGCCCGGGGCTGCGCTGGCGGGGCCCGGCTGCAGCCGCAGGGAGCGTCCCGCGCTGGGAACGGCGGCTCCGGGCTGGGAGCGCCGGGCCGGACGGGCAGGAGCAGCAGGAGCAGGAGGAGGAGGATGAGGAGGAGGAGGCAGTTGTCGGGCCCGGGATGAGCGCTGGCATGTATTATCTGAGCGGGGCTGATGTCTCTCACCGCTTTAGCTCTAGAATTACTCTGAGGCCCGGCACACTCCGATCCCTGTGGCAGTGGAGCTTTTGTCACTTGTGGGATGGAGTCCTCATGCCAGACTTGGAGCCAGGTTGAGGAGAGGGGTCCCGTTTGGGATCTGCCCCATTGCCACGTGGGGCAGGTGCAGTTCTGGGCTGGGCTGTGGGTTTTGTGCCCATGTGGGGCTCTCACATGTCCCGAGTTTCATGGTTTGGCAATCTGTGTCCAGGTGCATGTGGGAATGTTGTCCTGGGGTGTCCCTGAGCCCCCGTGTGCTGGCAGAGCTGTGCAGGTTCTGTGTGTGCAGCTGGGCTGGTGCAGCTGCAGGAGGGGAGTGGCTCCTGTGGTCAGTGTGGCCCTAAACCTGGAATGTTTTCTGCTTCTTGCAGGTGTCTGGTTTTGCCTGGGCCGTTCTGGCCCGCCCAGGTGTATGATCCAGCATTTTTGAGAGTCCCCATGGCTGCAGGTCCTGGTGGTGTGTGTCAGGTGAGGTTTGGGGTGTCTCAGGTGCTGGTGAGGTCCCGGGGATCCTGGGGCTTTGGATGCACAGTGAGATCTGCAGCCCCATGGAAGGTGTTGCTGTGAGTGTGCTCCCATGGATTATGATTCAGGAGAGCCAGGTGGGAATGCCCAGGAACCTGCTGAGGGAGGGAGGTGACGGGACAGCAAGTTTGACACCGTGTGTGGCAAGAGTCTGTGGACCTGTTCTATCATATGTATTCCTGTGATAGAGTCCTCAGAAATGAAAATGAGTCTGAGGTGCTTGGGGGGTCGTTGGCGGTTTGCTGCCCCTCCTCAGCTGCCCTTCACATGAATTTCCTGTGTGTGTGGCCTTCCTGAGGTGGGGGTTTTAAAGCTGAACCGTTTTCTGTAAGGGAGAATGGTTGTTCACTGCCTCTGACCCAAAGTGTTGCCACACACTGAAAACTTCTCCTGCAACCCTTTGTCTGGGGGGAGTGTGTGCAAACCTCAGGGCATTGGGTCTGTGGGCCACGGCTTTGACCACGAAACCATACCAGAGCTGATATTTAGGAGAGTTTCAGGGTTTGGCTTTCTGGGGGCCACTTGCTTCTCCCTGAACATTGTTTACTTGTCTCTAGGCCTGAGATAATTAAACAACAGTGTTATCTTTATCTGTCTCAGGTTCCCTTAGGTGGCTTGAGTCACAGTATAAAGTTCCCCTCAGAAGGAATCCTCAGAGAGGGGTGGGCTTCCGTGGATGCAGCCTCTTTACACAGTTTAGCCATAGTGGGCAAAAAATCCTTCATAGCAAAGTTTGAGCTGTTGATGAGAATGTTTCAATCTCTCAGAGACGGGAAGAGAGAGGATGGGGGTGAAAGGAGGAGGAGGAGGCAGTTGTCGGGCCCGGGATGAGCGCTGGCATGTATTATCTGAGCGGGGCTGATGTCTCTCACCGCTTTAGCTCTAGAATTACTCTGAGGCCCGGCACACTCCGATCCCTGTGGCAGTGGAGCTTTAGCCAGTTGTGGGATGGAGTCCTCATGCCAGACTTGGAGCCAGGTTGAGGAGAGGGAGTCCCATATGGGAACCTGTGGTCAGCCTGGCCCTAAACCTGGAATGTTTTCTGCTTCTTTTAGGTTTCTGGTTGAGCATGGGATGTTCTGGCCAGCCCAGATGGATGATCCAGCATTTTTGAGAGTCCCCATGGCTGCAGGTCCCATTGTGCTGTGTCAGGTGAGGTTTGGAATGACTCAGGGGTTGGTGAGGTCCCGGGGCTTTGGATGGGCAGTGAGATTTGCAGCCCCTGGGAAGGTGTTGCTGGGGTTGTGCTCCAATGGATTATGATACAGGAGAGCCAGGTGGGAACACCCAGGAACCTCACCAGGGAGGGAGGCGGGTTTGTGGCAACTTTGACAGAGTGTCTGGCAGAAGACTCAGGAAATGTTCTGTCACATTGCTTCACATGCAGTGCTGTGGTAAAGGCCTCAAAAATGAAAATGGGCCTGAGGAGCTTTTGGGAGTTTTGGATGGTTTCTAGCCTCTCCTCAGCGGCCCTTCAAGTGAATGTCCCGTGTAAGTGGGGCCTTTCTGGGGTTGGAATTTTACAGCAGAGCGTTTTTCTGTAAGGGAGGATTGGTGTTCACTTCCTCTGACCCAAAGTTTTGCCACACACTGAAAATCTCTCCTGCAACCCTTTGTCTGGGGGGAGTGTGTGCAAACCTCAGGGCATTGAGTCTGCAGCCATGGGCTCCGAGATGTGAAACCCACCCAGAGCTGATGGTCAGGAAAGCAGCTGGGTTTGGCTTTCTGGGGGAAACTTGCTTCTCTCTCAGCCTTGTTTACTTGTCTCTAGTCGGGAGATATTTAAACAAAAGTTTCAGCTTTAACTAACTCAGGTTCCCTTAGGCGGCTTGAGTCACAGACTAAAGTTCCCCTCAGGAGGCATCCTCAGGGAGGGGTGGGCTTCAGTGGCTGCAGCCTCTTTATACAGTTTAGGCATAATGAGCAAAAAATCGTTTGTAGAAAAGTTTGAGCTATTGCTGAGGATGTTTCATTCTCTCAGAGATGGGAAGAGAGGGGGATGGGGGTGAAAGGAGGAGGAGGAGGCAGTTGTCGGGCCCGGGATGAGCGCTGGCATGTATTATCTGAGCGGGGCTGATGTCTCTCACCGCTTTAGCTCTAGAATTACTCTGAGGCCCGGCACACTCCGATCCCTGTGGCAGTGGAGCTTTAGCCAGTTGTGGGATGGAGTCCTCCTGCCAGACTTGGAGCCAGGCTGAGGAGAGGGATCCTGTTTGGGATCTGCCCCATTGCCAGGTGGGGCAGGTGCAGTTCTGGGCTGAGCCGTGGGTTTTGTGCCTCTTCGGGGCTGTCACATGTCCCGAGTTCCATGATTTGGCAGTGTCCTGGTTGATGTGGGAATGTTGTCTCAGGTGTCCCTGAGCCCCCGTGTGCTGGCAGAGCTGTGCAGGTTCTGTGTGTGCAGCTGGGCTGGTGCAGCTGCAGGTGGGAGTGTGCAGGAGGGGAGTGGCACCTGTGGTCAGTGTGGCCCTAAACCTGGAATGTTTTGTGCTTCTTGCAGGTGTTTGGTTTAGCCTGGGCTGTTCTGGCCATCCCAGATGTATGATCCAGCATTTTTGAGAGTCCCCATGGCTGCAGGTCCTGGTGGTGTGTGTCAGGTGAGGTTTGGGGTGACTCAGGTGCTGGCGAGGTCCCGGATCTCCAGGGGCTTTGGTTGTGCATTGATATCTGCAGCCAGGGGCTGGTGTTGTGCTCCAATAGATTATGATTCTAGAAAGCCTGATGGGAACGCCCAGGAACCGTCCCAGTGAAGGGGATGAGCGGGGCAGCAAGTTTGACCCAGTGTCTGGCAGCAGATTCAGGATCTTTTCCATCACATTGCTTCACATGCAGTGCTGTGGTAAAGGCCTCAGTAAATGAAAATGAGTCTGAGGAGCTTTGAGGGTCCTTGATGGTTTCTCACTGCTCCTCAGCTGCCATTCACCTGAATATCTTGTGTGTGTGATCTAATTGGGGTGGGAGTTTTACAAGGGAGCTGTTTTCCATAAGGGAGGATGGGTGTTCACTGCCTCTGACCAGAAGTTTTGCCACACACCGAAAACCTCTTCTTGAACCCTTTGGCTGGGGGGAGTGTGTGCAAACCTCAGGGCATTGTGTCTGTGGGCCATGGCCTCCACCATGCCAAATCCACCCAGAGCTGATGTTCAGGACAGTTGGTGGGTTTGGATTTCTGGGGGATACTTTTTTCTCTCTCACCCTTATTTACTTGTCTCTAGACCGGAGATAATTAAACAACAGTGTCACTTTTATCTATCTCAGGTTCTCTTAAGTGGCTTACGTCACAGTCTGAATTTTTCCTCAGAAGGCATCCTCAGAGAGGAGTGGGCTTATGTGTCCGGAGCCTCTCTACACAGTTTAGTCATAATGGGCAAAAAATCCTTTGTAACAAACTTTGAGCTGTTGACCGCAATGATTCGGTCTGTCAGAGACGGGAAGAGAGGGGGATGGGGGTGAAAGGAGGAGGAGGAGGCAGTTGTCGGGCCCGGGATGAGCGCTGGCATGTATTATCTGAGCGGGGCTGATGTCTCTCACCGCTTTAGCTCTAGAATTACTCTGAGGCCCGGCACACTCCGATCCCTGTGGCAGTGGAGCTTTAGCCAGTTGTGGGATGGAGTCCTCCTGCCAGACTTGGAGCCAGGCTGAGGAGAGGGGTCCCGTTTGGGATCTGCCCCATTGCCAGGTGGGGCAGGTGCAGTTCTGGGCTGGGCTGTGGGTTTTGTGCCCATGTGTGGCTCTCAAATGTCCCCAATTCCATGGTTTGGCAGTTTGTGTCCAGGTGCATGTGGGAATGTTGTCTCAGGTGTCCCTGAGCCCCCGTGTGCTGGCAGAGCTGTGCAGGTTCTGTGTGTGCAGCTGGGCTGGTGCAGCTGCAGGAGGGAATTGGCACCTGTGGTCAGTGTGGCCCTAAACCTGGAATGTTTTCTGCTTCTTGCAGGTGTCTGGTTTTGCCTGGGCCGTTCTGGCCCGCCCAGGTGTATGATCCAGCATTTTTGAGAGTCCCCATGGCTGCAGGTCCTGGTGGTGTGTGTCAGGTGAGGTTTGGGGTGACTCAGGTGCTGGTGAGGTCCCGGGGATCCTGCGGCTTTGGATGCACAGTGAGATCTGCAGCCCCTGGGAAGGTGTTGCTATGAGTGTGCTCCCATGGATTATGATTCAGGAGAGCCAGGTGGGAGTGCCGAGGAACCTGCTCAGGGAGGGAGGTGGGGGACAGCAAGTTTGACACTGTGTGGCAAGAGTCTGTGGACCTGTTCTATCATATGTATTCCTGTGGTAGAGTCCTCAGAAATGAAAATGAGTCTGAGGTGCTTGGGGGGTCGTTGGTGGTTTGCTGCTCCTCCTCAGCTGCTCTTCACGTGAATTTCCTGTGTGTGTGGCCTTCCTGAGGTGGGCGTTTTAAAGCTGAGCCGTTTTCTGTAAGGGAGAATGGTTGTTCACTGCCTCTGACCCAAAGTGTTGCCACACACTGAAAACTTCTCCTGCAACCCTTTGTCTGGGGGTAGTGTGTGCAAACCTCAGGGCATTGGGTCTGTGGGCCACGGCTTTGACCACGAAACCCTACCAGAGCTGATGTTTAGGAGAGTTACTGGGTTTGGCTTTCTGGGGGCCACTTGCTTCTCCTCGAACATTGTTTGCTTGTCTTTAGGCCTGAGATAATTAAACAACAGTGTCATCTTTATAGGTTCTCTTAGGCGACTTAAGTCACAGTCTAAAGTTCCCCTCAGAAGGAATCCTCAGGGAGGGGTGGGCTTCAGTGGATGCAGCCTCTTTACACAGTTTAGCCATAGTGGGCAAAAAATCCTTCATAGCAAAATTTGAGCTGTTGATGAGAATGTTTCAATCTCTCAGAGACGGGAAGAGAGAAGATGGGAGTGAAAGGAGGAGGAGGAGGCAGTTGTCGGGCCCGGGATGAGCGCTGGCATGTATTATCTGAGCGGGGCTGATGTCTCTCACCGCTTTAGCTCTAGAATTACTCTGAGGCCCGGCACACTCCGATCCCTGTGGCAGTGGAGCTTTAGCCAGTTGTGGGATGGAGTCCTCCTGCCAGACTTGGAGCCAGGTTGAGGAGAGGGTGTCCTGGTTGGGATCTGCCCCATTGCCAGGTGGGGCCGGTGCAGTTCTGGGCTGAGCCGTGGGTTTTGTGCCCTTGTGGGTCTCTCACATGACCCAAATTCCATGGTTTGGCAGTTTGTGTCCAGGTGCATGTGGGAATGTTGTCCTGTTGTGTCCCTGAACCCCCGTGTGCTGTTTCAGAGCTGTGCAGGTTCTGTGTGTGCAGTTGTCGATGGGAGTGTGCAGGAGGGACGTGGCACCTGTGGTCAGCATGGCCCTAAACCTGGAATGTTTTGTGCTTCTTGCAGGTCTCCAGTTAAACCCAGGACATTCCAGCCAGCCCCGAGCTGTGATCCGGACACCTGATCCTGGCTGGCCCTGGGGTTGGATCCAGCTGCTCCCAGGTTCCTCTCAGGCTTCTGGAAAGACAGGACATCCCTCCTGCGCCCTGTGACCCAACAGAAGAGGCTTCCCTATAAACCTTGTCTGCAGCTTCCTGAGGAGCTGGGAATGCACAGCACAGAGTGTCACCCACTCCTGAGGAGCTGGGAATGCACAGCACAGGGTGTCACCCACTCCTGGGGAGCTGGGAATGCACAGCACAGAGTGTCACCCACTCCTGAGGAGCTGGGAATGCACAACGCAGAGTGTCACCCACTCCTGAGGAGCTGGGAATGCACAGCACAGAGTGTCACCCTCTCCTGAGGAGCTGGGAATGCACAGCATAGGGTGTCACCCACTCCTGGGGAGCTGGGAATGCACAGCACAGAGAGTCACCCACTCCTGGGGAGCTGCCAGCTGAGTCCCCAGGGCCTTGCTCTTATACCAGGGACAAGCAGTGGGATGGCTTAAATCCCACTGATTCTGGGAGCTCTTGGATCCACCCTGTGCCCCTGGGAAGTTTTCTCTTGCAGTTAGCCCCACTTCATTTTGGGTGTTTGTGCTTCATGTGCACTCCACCCACACCTTGGAGTGCCTTGGGATCCACCTACACCCCCAGGGACTCTGGGGAAGGTGACCTGAGCAAGAAATGGGGAACAGGAGCTTGTGTGGGTGGGCCCAGAAAGCTGGGAGGGATCTTGGGAAAGGGGTGATGGTACAAGAGACCAGCAGAACCCTTCCAGGGAGAAAACAGCTTGGACCTTCCATGGGGAATTGGGCCCTGGCACCAGCACATCAGGTGCAAGGGGGTGAAGGAAGCAGGTGGAGCTGCTCTTTTATGGATCCTGCTCCATGGGATCAGCGCTGTGGAAGAGCGACTGGGGAGGGTGCTCAGGGCCAGCACTGCTCCTTTGGGCTCCCTTTGTCCCCCTCCTGGGGTGGCATTAGGATTTGGAAGGGATGTGGAGCCCAGCTCTACTTCAAGCCTGGCACAGCTGGGAATTGTAGTGGGGGTGGTCAGACTTGGGATCTCCTCCTCCAGCCCCAGCTTCTTCCAGGCCCCTGCAGCACCTCCCTGTCCTTTGCCAGCTGCTCCTCCTTGGCTTTCAGCACGTGGCACTGGAATTTCAGCTCTGCCTTTCCCAGGGATGGGCTGGGAGACCCCACTGTCCCCTGCCCTGTCCTGGGCATTCTCATAACATCCCACAGTTTGAGATCCTCAAACTCAGATCCCAGCCCCCCTCACATGGAGTTTGGGCTTCTCAAACTGGAGTTTTTGGGACCCTTGAACTCTTCTTGTGCCTGAGAGCTCATTCACTGCCTGCCAGTTTCTGCTCCAAACAGGGATTTCTTATTTTTCATTCCAGCTGCTCAGGGAGGAGCTGAGGCTGCAAAACGCCAATCCCAGTCTGACCAGCAGGACTGGCACTGGTTTGGAGTAGGGAGTCAGTGGGTCAGTGATCACAGCCCTCTGTTTTATTGGTTATAAAGGGGCTGGTTTTGTGCTTGATGGTGGATTTTGGGGGTCACACATCAATAAAACTGGAGGATGTGTAGGGGAGGAGCTTATTTGGGGGTACAGAGACAAAAGGGGCATGGGGGGACCCCAGGGTGGGTTTTGGGATCTCCCTTAAGTGGGGGAGGGTGTTGGAGGGAGCCCAGGTCAAGCTTTGGGGTCTTTGAGCTGTGTTTTGGCATATTAGGGGTTGGATGGAAGGACCCACGGTGGGGGTCCTGCTTACAGGGGGAGGAGGGGGCTTTGGGGAGGGTCCCTCCTAAATGGGGCATGTGGTGGGAGAGCCCTGGAGACCCCAGGATGTAGATTTGGGGTCCCCTGGACGGGGTGGGTCGGTGGGGGTGGGGTCTCCTGGGCATTGGCACCCCCTGCTCACTGGGAGGACCTGGGGCTGGGGTTTGAGGGTTCCAGGGGTGGATTTTGGGGATCCCCAGGACATATTTTGGGATGTCAGGGTGGGTTTTGTGGTGGGTTGAGGGCTCCTGGATGGATTAGAGAGTTCCAGCACCCGCAGTGCAAAGTCCAGGGCAGGGGCACAGTGGGTCAGACACCCCATGGACACCACACCGATGTGAGGCCCCAAAAACTCGGGGAGGGTCCCCAGAACAATCCCCCCGTTGGCTGCTGCTGCATGCAGCTCCTGGGGGGATACCTTCCACCTTTCACAACTTCCCATCCTTCTCCAAAAGGGGGTGTCACAGCCCTAATCTGTCCAATTGCACACACCCCCCTACCCCAAACCACCATTTCAGGGGTTACTCCACCCTTTGACCACCAGCAATGGGGTGTTCTCACCTAAACCCTCAAAATCAACAGTTATCACCACAAAATTGGGAGTCCCCTAAACCAGAAACCTCCCGAAATCTGGCAATGGGGGCTCCCCACCACACACTGATCCCCAGAATTATGATCTGAGCACCCAGAACAACTCCAAATTTCAGCTCTCCAACCCACTGGCCAACAAAATTAAAGTTCTCTCCCTCTATCACCCTATAAACCAGGGTGCAAACCCTCTAAATGCCCAAAATTGCAGTTCCCTGCACAATCCCTCCAATCCACGCATGCCCCACCCACCCAAAACTGCAGTCCCCCCACCAAAAAAAAAACCCCAAAACAAGGGTTTTCCAACACTTTGACCCCCAAAGATTGGGTTCTCCCCCTTATCTTTGAGGCTGCTCCACATTTTACAGCAGATTCTCTCCAGTTTACTGGTTCAGCCTTACACCTTAGAGTCTCCCATTGTTGTCACACCCTTAATTTTGGGGTCTCACCAGCGGTGCTCTGCATAGCCTGGATCTGTGTGGTTACCCCTCACTTTCCAGGGGTTTCCTCCCCCATTTTCCTGGTCTATCTTCCATTTTTTCAATTCAATCCCCCATTTTTGGGGTCCAGTCTCACCACTGTTGGTGCTGCTCCGATTTTGGGGCTCACCTGTGGGGCCAGGTTGTCCAGCAGGACGATGTCAGCCCCAGCCCCTGCAGCTGCCAGTGCCTCCTCTGCACTCGAGCATTCAACCTCCGGCCTGGCCCAGCACACCTCCAAAATCATCTGGGGAAGAGGGGGGTCAGGGGGAACCCCAGAACAACGCCCAATCCCTCAGACTCAATATGAGATGTGGTAAAATGGGGGGCTGCCCCCTGTGATTGACATAAAATGAGCGTCCTCTGTCAACCCCCAGCATTGATTCCCACAAACTGGGGTCTGCTCCCTAGATTCCCCCAATTCAAAGGGGCCCAAAGTTGGGCCTCCTCCATCTACAATCCCCCACAATTTAGGGCTTACCCCCCAAACTGGGACTTCCCCTATGCATCCCTCCCAGTCCAGGGGTCCTCCCACATCAGTCCATGCCGAGAATACCCCAGTCCTGGAGTGTGTCCCAAAATTGGTACCCCCTTCTGTTGCAGCATTTTTGAGGGAAAGAGGACATGAGTTATGAGATTTGAGCTACTCCAGTCTAGGCCTCAGATTTGGGCCTTGTGAGGCCTTCAAGCCTCTGACGCAGTTAGAAATTCAGAGCTTGTGGCGCAGATAGAAATAGTCTTAAGGTGTGATGGGGACCACTGGGTTGTCTGGGTGTGAATTAGTATAGGTTTTATAGTGTAAGGTGTAGGCTGTTTTAAGGAAAAGGTAAACAATGTTAGCCTACCAATCAGAGCGTCTTTGTTTTTGTAAACTATGTAGAAGCTTATATAAACTACCATCTTATCTTGAATAAAGGGAGAACGCTTGATTAACCACATTGGTTCAGACCTGCGTTTGTCTTGTCCAGCTTTCCGTTTTTCTGAGATTCCCTGGCTTTTCCCTTCAAACACTTGTGCTTCACCACCACCTTCAAACTTCGGGGTACCCGAAATCATCGCTCCCTCCAAACTCGAGCCCCCTTCACCAAAACAGCCCATTATTCCAAATCTCATGTTCCCCCTATCCCACACCCCCAAAATTGGGGTTGTCACGCCTACCACCCATAACCTGCCAATTCAAGGGTCCCCCCACCCATCTACCCCCACCCTGGGGTTCCTCACCTAGCACCCCACAATCCAGGAGTCCTGCCCATCAGCCAGGCGGGCTGTTCAGCCTGGTAGATGTTCACCCAGGTGGACACCAACCCAGTGATTGGTTCTGTCACCGTGGCAGGCTGTGGGGGACATCTGGACACTGGTGTGGCAGTGGGGCAGGAGCTGCTGAAGCCACCACCTGTGACATTCATATTCTCTGGACACAGACATAATTCTGTCTCTCTGGAAAAGCACAGAGAGAAGAAAAGAAAATAATCTTTATCTCTGCTCCTTTGTTTTCCCCATGTAAAATTTAGTATGGAGATTGTTTACCTGAAGCGACTGCTTAATTAGATTCTAGTGAAAGTTATTTAAGTTCAATGACCAATCAGGTCCAGCTGTGTCTCAGACTCAGCAGAGTGTCACAAGTTTGTTAGAAATTAGATAAGTAAGTAAGAAGTATGTAGAATAGTATAGTATCTCTTTAAATAGTATATTAATGTAATATAATATAGTTTTAATAAAATATAAACTTCAACCTTCTGACCTGGTTGAGGGAACAGAGGTGAGGTTAAAGGGTAACACCCAACTGGGATCCAGGGGAGGGGCGGTAAGGAACTGGGAAAGCAGCAGCAGGGAACATTCTAGAAGTGGGGAGGAAAAAAGGGATGATGTAACTAGGCCCATTGACATAAAGGCACAAGGAACTGTAGGAAAACATCTGGTGTCACCCTCACTTGAAGGTGTTTCTTCCCAAGGCATCCCTGCCTCAGCATCCCCTTCCATGTCGCAGAATGCAACAACTGGGGGATGTCCACGGGGGAAGAGATTGGGAAGTCATCATGGGGAGGGACATGGTAGGAGCAGAGGATGGATGGAGCCCATCAACCAGATGTTACCCAGGGCAGCATCTGTTCCTCCAACCGGATGGGAGGGACATTTGGGACATTAAGGGGTCACCCTGGGGGAGACAGGGGGATGACAACAAGGACACAGGGGGACGTGGTAGCAAGAGACATTCAAGCCAGAGATTTGTTCTCTAATGGGGGGGTACCTCAGGGCCATCTGGGGGTCACCATGGGGGTGGGGCACACAGCTGGACATGCACAGGGGATGGAGGGTGGGGTGGGGTGTGGGTCGCTGTGGGGGAGGACATGGGGAGACACATTGAAAGGACACTGGGACATCATGGAGGGCGTGGTGGTGATGGTGGTTGTGGTGGCCATGCGATGATGATGATGAGGGGTTTGAGTGTTGAAGATGGGGGTGGTGGTGATGGTGTTAAGTGATGAAATGGTGATGCTGTTGGTGAAGATGGTGACAGTGTTGATGGTGTTGGGTGATGATAAAAGAGGTGGTGGAGTTCACTGTGGAGGTGATATGCAGACCATGGTGTGGGTGGTAGTAACGATGATGGTGACAGTGATGGTGTTGTCAGTGTCATGGCAATGGTGTTGGTTGTGTTGGAGTTGACTGCAGTGATGATGGTATTGATGATGAAGATGATGGTGTGGGTGATGAAGATGATAGAGATGATGGTGGTGCTGCTGGTGTCATGGTGACAGTGTTGGATGAGGAAGATATTGGTGTTGGATTTCATCATAGAGTGGGCGACGGCATGAGTGATGAAGATGAGGTTTGTGGTGATGATGATGATTGTGATGATGATGGTGTGAGTAGTGTCATACTGATAGTGTCACTGGTGTGGATGATGAAGATGAAGGTGATGAAGAAGATGACAGTGATGATGGTGCTGTTGGTGTTGTGGTGACGATGATGGAGGTTGATGGTATTGGATGATGATGATGGAGGTGTTGGTGATGAAGACGATGATGTTGTGGGGGATGAGGTTGATGGCAGCCCCCAGAGTCACTCTGTTCATGGTGGGGGAGAAATTGGAGACACCCAGGGCTGAGAGAGGGGACCCAGAACACACAGGGACATGGGAAAACACACAGGGACACTGAACACACACAGGGACATGGGAACACACACATGGATGTTAAAACACACACATGGACGTGAGAAAGCACACAAGAATACACATAGTTGCCTTGCTGAAGGGGTTTATTGATTATTCCAGGGAAATTCCCAGGGCTCCCAAGGAATTAGGGGGGTTCTCCAGGGATGATCATCTCCTCATGCCGCTGGAGAGGGACAGGACACGAGTGTCACCACCAGATCCAGGCCTGAAAGGCAGAGCCCAAATTATCACCCGCTGTGTCCACAGGGACATGAGAGGGCCCTTGTCCCCATCCCTCCCTCTGCAGGCACCTGTGGCAGGAGAAGGGCTTTGGAGTCCCGGGTGTACCTGGGAAAGGACTTGGCTCCTGAGATCCCAGAGCCCCTCAGCCTGGAATATCCCAAAAGCTCCCAGAGCCCTCCCTGCTCCCACGGGGACACTGGGTGTCCCCAGAGCCCCCCAGTGCAAGGAAAGCCTTGGGGACAGCTCTGGGACGTGGATCAGGGACTGCCCCCTCCATGTGCCTCTGCCATCCCCAAGCTCTGCCCACCCCAGAGGGCTCAGGGATTCACCCTGGCCCCC